CTAATAAAAAAAGCAAACAAACAAAACCCCAAAGGCACAACAAGAATACAGTACTTTAATTATCCAAAACTTAGTAACTGTTGTACAATCTGACAGCATATAGTGCTGATATGCTAAAATACCCAATACATGTTTCCCCAATGGAAATCTAAATTGAAGAGTTGTTCGTTTGTAGCTTACAAACGCAGGATTACTCAAGCTGTAAAGAGAGTTAGGCTATTTCTTTAAAATACAAGAGTAAATAGGTWATTGCTCTGAAATACAGGTTATGTTTCCATGCTTAGCTTGGAACCAACMGAATCAATATATGTGGTCATTTGATTTCTGCATTAAGCTTGAAAAATAATCAGTAAGAAAACAGTATCCTTTCGGACAAAAAGACCTTGTGTTTAAGGTAACTGGTCATGGAAGTAATACCACTCCTSCACTCACAATGAAGTCATACACAGGATCTCACCACCCTTGATGACATTAGATCAATGTTCACCTTGCTTGTTGAAAATTTTGAAGATTCCTSACTACAGGCTGAATGTCTTCATTTATTCCAAAAAGGATACATAGTGCAGGCACAAGAGTGATAGCTGTTAACTGTTCCATGCACCATGCCAAATGTCTTGCAAYAATTTGAATGATTAAAGCCTTCTGTAGAAAAAAAACTAAGTTTTCCTTGCCCAGTCTGTCAGGTATCTGTCCTGCAAGCCAACAAGCAGTCAAATTTTCAGCTGCTGTCCACACAGCTAAACCACTGATTAACGACCAATACTATCATCTGTGACAGGACACCTGAGAGCTGCAACTTAAAAGGCCCTGCCTTTGATTGGAATATAAATAAATAAAGAGCCAAACTTGATTTAGTAAAAGTAAGAAAGGAACTTAGGCTATAATTTTCATAATCCAGCCTTTCAATTTTCTCCTTCATTTTCATGTAGGAGATAACTGCTAATTGTGTTAGGTAGTGATAAAACAAGTCATCATAGAATCCTAATACGTGAACAGATTCTGTGAACATGCAGCCCTTCAACAAATGAAGGAAGACATTACAACCTGTTTTTTGACACAAAATGATTATAGTGCCTAGCAAATAAAAAGTAAAGTACAGCTTTAGGCAACTCAGCACATGACATGCTTTGGCCATGTTTATACAGCACTGTCTGTAAAAAGACATTTAACTTGTGACTGTATGCATATTTTATTAGAATGATTTCAAAGTTTATTTCAAAATTAAAAAGTTCTTGAAAATTTACAAAAGCCCAGACCAAAAAAAGCCCTTTTTGTTACTCATCAGAACACTTCTGTTGTTGCGGGATTACAGTAGGTGTAGTCTTTGGTTTTAACTGGATTAATTCCAAAGTGCACATATTTATTTGTAACTCTAACAAAAGACTGATTTAGAAACAGGAAAAAAAAAGGTCTTCCACAAGTATAAACCAGTTATACACATCGTCACTGAAAGCACTATAGTTCAAAGTTCTCTGTACAGTTCCAGCAAAATTTGAAGCCACCTCCACCATAAAGTATGTCTTTAAAGATCCAAAACAAGATTTGCAGCAAATGACAATGTGGGCACAGTGTCAGAGACTTGCTCTGTTTCTGTAGTCTGTAGAACCTGATGCAAGAATCTCAGTCCAACATGTTTTCTACATATGAATGCTCAGAATATTATGATCTTTGGATGAAAACAGTTGTCAGTTGAATTCTCTGTTGCTATAAATACAGCCAAGCCGTCCTTTAGAACATTTTTGTGATCTCAAAGCAAATAGTACAAGACAGTCCAAACAGACCTACACCAAAAAGCCTTTTGATTTTCATATTTCAAAGAAGTATACTGTGATTAGGTACAGAAGCTGAAGTGATTCTTGTTGCCTTATCAGTTTGCTTATAGAATTTTAAACACTTTAATATTACTACACCACAGAGATTTGACACTACATATTGATTAGTTTTTGCAAGTCTTAGGTAGTATTTCAACATGAAGACATACAGAAAATGGAAAAAAACCTTTCTGAAAAGTGTTACTTCGTTAGTAAAAACTGTTAGATTTGTATGACCTACAAATAGTTTAATGTACTGCAATGTAAATCAGTGGTCTTACAGTTAAGGCTGCTTCTCCTGTACAGTTATGCAGAATTTAAAATACGAATGTCCACTTGTAGAGAAATTGATACTTATGAATGTATATAAAAATTTTTAAACAAAAAATATACACTAAATAATGGTGAACACATGAAATCAGTCTTAAAATGCATCCAGTTTAGATACAGAGCAAGACACAGTAATGGGATCCTTTGAAAAACACTTTAAGGAATTAGGTGTAACAGAAAAACTCCCATTTTGCAAGGCTTTTAATTTGGTGTCCTTTTTCTTTTGCAAGGCTTCCACCTTTCTGTTAGTCCCTCTAATCTCTTGGGAGAAGTCCTCTGCCAATTTACTTTTTTTTGGCTTAAAAGAATGTCTTTGAACTTGATCACAGTATCAAGAACTAATAAGAAATAAACCACTAGAATTACAAATAACATTGCTGTGAAAGATTTCAGTGCACATGAACAAAGCTGAACAGCTCTACACAACAAGTCCAGCTGCTGGGTGAAGAATCCCTTATCACTAATGCATTGTTTTCAGGAATATACACATCCCTCCACGTAAATACGCACCCCAGATTTTCTTAGAAACTTTTCAATTGGGTCATTATCTGCCCAATGATCCTAAATGTCCCATTCTTTGACTACAGAATATTATACCATTGATTTGCAATTATATTTTTAGTAGAAAGCACAGCCAAAGTCTTGAAATACAAAAGAAGTTCTTAAAAAAACCCAGTAAAAACTATGGTGCAGAGACTGGCGCAGTTACTGTGTCTCCATCCAAACACCACGCTGCATTCCAGCAGATGATTATATTGCTTTGCTTTAAAAGGAATGGGGTTTCCAGTCTTTTCCCTTCTAACCCAGATCAATGTAGTCCAAGATTGCCAAAGCCCATGGTGCTGACTCCACAGTTTTGACATCAACTTTGCTAAATGTCTCCTTCGACCCTTCTCTTGCGAACTGGAACAAGAGAGACAAAAACAAAAGAAGTTTGGCTATATTAGCATTTTAACAATATTTGTATTGCTTTAACATAAACAGTTACTTTGCCACATGAAGTACCACAAATTAAGGTAGGTAACACTTAGTATTATACAGCATTTTATGCAAATAAGCTGAGCTTATTGCCTTATTCACAAACAGTTGCAAATATTTGCGAGGAAGGACTTGTAGGAAACATTAATAATCTTTTGTGTGGCAACAGGTTTAGCCAGTAGTCTTTTTTTACAGTTTTTTAGTGGTGAATTCAGTTTACATGGCTTCAAAAGAAATACCACAAGAGTTTCACAGTACATCTAACACCATTTATACGTGCACAGATATTAAATTCCAGCAAGCACATCTATATAAGAAGAAAGTGATTGTTTTAAAATCCACTCACTGAAAGCAGGTGGCAGAAGTTACTCATACCTGCTTTCATCAAACTGCAAGAACAGCTGAAAAGAATTTCCAGCCCTAGACATGTCCAATCATGCAGTTAAAAGCAACACCTACACAGACAAAGAAAAGGGAAGTGGTACAACACAGTGTAAGCAAGGAAAAAGGAGAAGATACAGATTTTTTTTAGAAGAAACATACAAAGACAGAAATGAGAAACTTCAAACGTCTCGGTTTCAGTGCTCAATACCCAAGTGGGTATTCAGAGTAATCTTCTCGGTAGCTTCAGGGCTGGAGAGATGAAAAGGGATTTGCAGAAACTTTTACTCGCATAGTCCAGACTAAGAAAGCAAAGGAAAAAAGGCAAGATATCAATAGAAACATAGATTGCCAACAGTCAAACACTAAAAAGAGAACTAGGGAGAGAAGAAACCTTAGAAAGTAGTGAGACACCTGAAGCATTATGACAAAAATCACAACTGGTTTAAAATCTATTTTGAGAATTAAATATGCAGTGTCTGAGTGCCTTCTTATGTCTCTGTGCTCTATTCTACTTACTCCCCCATATCTTTCAGAGGTGCTCTCCTCCACTTTACCTTCAGATCTTTAAACCAAATTCCAATTTCCTATGTTATTCCCTCTAATATATTCCTTAATTACTACTAAACTGCCTGGCCCATTTTCACACTGATGAGAGGTCACTAGAAAGAATCTAAAGCCAAAAGATTTAATTAAACAGTTTTAAAATGCAGTTCTATTTAAATAGATAGGAATTATTTTGTAGTTGATTGCTTCAAGTATTTGACATTGTTATACAAACGATTCCATTCACGTTAATACCAATTTTCTCTAAGAGGCACGGATGGTACTTGTGCATGATCAGAACCATCGGGGAGAGATTACCCAGTTCCAGCTGCTGTACATGACAGGATGCTCAGTTTCCTTGCTTGAGCAATGCCAGTGACATTGGGATACTTGGCATTGAACAGGGTGTCCTACACTGTTAATTTCAAGTATTGCTTTTATAGAATAAATGAATCTTATCTGAATACAACTGAACAAAACTTTTTTTCACTCCCTTTGCCACAACCCACATGAAATTTGAATGCTCTTGTTCTAGACTGTATTAAAACTCTTCAGTTCATGCACCTGAACACCCAAAATAGGGAGCATCAAGCAGCAACAAAAAAGTAGGAGTAAAGCACAGGACAAACCTGAAACTGATCTACCAACCTTGTGCTATCCTGGTTCTGTCAAGGGAGAAGGAGAATAACCAGACACCTTTAAAGCTTGTGCCACACACACATTCAATTAATAATGACAGGTCTTACCCAAATCATTGTTTTTTGTGATAGCTGCAGCTGCCCTAGCTCGAGGTCCCTGTTGTGTGAAATGGTATCCAAATTTGAGGATCTTGGTGTTTTCTTCAAGCATCTTGGCAATTTCTACTTCTGCAGCTGTACCCAGCTGCTGCCTCTGTTAGAATAAAAGATACACAAAGACAACAGAGCTTATGTGTGTTCACCCTGAAAGAGATCAGAATACTTTCCCCATATCAATCAATAAAAACTCAGCTACATTCTGGTTAATTGACTGGGGAGAAGGTCATAAAATACGTTTGTGTATTTGAAAGCAGAAGGAAGCACAGAATTGACCAGGAATCAACCTCAGCTCTATGATTCTGATAATCTTAAGGACAATTATTGAWGGTTTTAAGATAATCAAATGTAAATTATTTGAAGGGTTTATCATAAGCTGTCTTCTAATAATATTCAGTCAGCTAGGACTGCCTGGTTTTAGCTATGGTATCACCACCACCTCACTTACCTGATTATCAATTTTGATCTCTGTCAACGTTTCATTGTCTTTCAGTGCATCAACCAGGGCCAGAATTCCAACTCCAGTGATGAAGTTTGATTCTATGTTTAAACTTTTTAATTTTGTGTTTACTCTCAGCATATCTGCAAGAGCCTTTGAATATAAGAAAGCATCATTAAACTTTTGAATTTTACTGCAGTACCTCACAGGACAGAGCAATAACCACTTCCACTAACTAGTTCCATAGAAGCAGCAAGTTCAGAGATGCAAGGTGTAATGTTGCAAGCTTTCACTTGCTGAGACTAAACTGTATCTTCAGCCAAGCATTATCTACATTCCCTTTTTAAATAGCATTCAGTCAAGAGAAGGCCTGTCTTTCTCTTGTTACAAACTAAAAAGCTACACAGAATATAAATTGTGTGAAATTAGCATATTGGACCAATTCCATTTTGTAAGCCTTGAGAGCACACAATGAGTAATGCAGGCTACTAAGCAAAGGCCAGAGAAAGGGCATTAGTCARCTGAGAGGAGAATTAGATATGGTTAATTTGTAAACAGGAGATCTGACTCTCAAAATGCTTTTGTCTACAGATTTGGTAGGAAGAAGTAAAATTCAAAGCTCTAAGCGCAGTGCCAAGACGTAGCTAACAGCATGTTTATACCCAATGTTTCTTCTGAGAAAGGAAGAAAACAGGAATAGCTAACTGCTGAGTTTACTGTCAGAAAAATCGTGCCCTTTGAATTGTTTTTCTATCAAGTCGCAATACAAACAAAACCAAGAAAACCACACCCGAGAAAAGAAGCTATTACAGATTTTATTACACGTGTTTTAGTCCTGCTGAAAAGAAACTTTTAAATTAACCCCAAACCAAAACTTTCAAATGCTCATGTGTTCATTTAAGGAAGTCTTTCAAATTCATTGTTTTTTCTTCTAATTTGAAATTAAAACAAGTGCAAAGGATTGTCCTGGCAACAATTAGTTTTCTTTTCTTACCTCTTTTTTGCAATTAAGTAAGGTACTGCTTTAATTCAACATAGAAAAAAACAGGACCTGACAATAAATAAGTATCAGTTGTATCAAACTAGATACTTTGACTAGTATTACACTTTATATACCAATGTTTTAAGCCAAACTTTGGTAGCAGGGAGATAGAGAAATAGGTATTTTACAACTTCAACTAAAACTCTAGGTAGCTGAAAGACATTATGGGTATTTTTAAGTCCTCAAATGTGCTTCTCACAAATTAATTTTGAATAAACTACTGGCTACTGGAATGAATACCAGAACTAAACGACTAGGAAAGAAAGAAAAAAAGAAAGGAGGTTAGCAAAATGAAAAATCAGGGGAAGGGACTGGAAAAAAGGATTCTCACTCATCTCACACATCTCAGGCATTTCTGCATATGAAGTTACTAGTAATCATTTACCAATTTGATACAACAAGGATTTGTTAAAGAAAACATACTTTACAGTGCAGCAGAATGGAATAATTTTCACCCCTGAATATTGAAACAGAATTAAATTCAATGCCTTACCACAGCCTTTCCAACCTACTTCCCCTTGCACCCCCCTTAAAACCGTTATCACAAGTACTTACAACAGCAACAGGATCATTGCTTCGGGTGGCTGCCAGGCTGAAATTCTTCACATGTGTGTTGGTTTCTAAGGCTTTTGCAAATTCTTTCAGCGTTGGAATTGGTATGTTCTTGAATTAAAAAACAGCATTTCACTCTCGAGATACACAAGTATCCCCTCCCCCCAACTTCTCTCATTATCTTTTTCTCTTTACAGCAAAAAGCCCTCCAATATTAACTACTGCTGGTCTCCAGCACTCTCACAGTGAAGACCTACCCTAAGATGCAATGGCTATAAGAGTCACCAATTATATAAAGCCATCATTTTACAGTTTACCAGCAACCCAGCTTAAAAGGAATAATTTTAGAGAATTGATTAGGATAGCAARTTTCTCACTTTATTGYATCAAAAACTTTGATCTGTTGCCTTCTTAGGCAGTTATTTTGGCTAGCATTTACCTATCATACAGCATTCATAAACCATGGATTTTATCTTTCCCCTTTAGTAAGGGGAACAAGTAGCCTTGGGCTGCTGGCAAGGCTGTCACTGCTCTCTGCTCTGCAAGTCAGGGGTGCTGCAGTTCTGGTTTCTTTCATGCAAATATACAAAAGCTCATCACGTGTAAAAACACAACTGTTACACTTAGGAGCAGAAGCTGCCCTCACTTCCAACAGCTCTTTTGTACAAGAATCAGAAGGATGTCAGGCACAAATATCACTTTGCTTGCAATAGCAGAAACTGAAAGCCCACTGCTTCATCAAGGACAAAGGATTCAACACAGTAGTTAACTCCATGATAATGAACTGCTGCAACTGCTGCCAACCTGGCAGCAACAGAAATCTGGGCTGCAGTGAGAAAGTCTAAGATTTCTTAAATACACATTTAGCAAAAGAAACCAAGATGGCTTATTGGTTTACCTCCAAGTTCTGAGTTTATACACACTACAACATTTAGCACTAAGATTGCTGGACTTAGGATAAGGCTATCATGCTCTCTGAGAGTGTTTTGTAGCTTCAAGTGTCTTCTACTGAGAAAAAGCAGCATAGTTACAGCAGACTTTAGGTAATTACCTTAATGTTATTTAGATTAACTTCAACAAGACGAGAATCATTATTTTTAATCCTTTGCAGTGTCTCCTCCACATTTGTGGGATTTGGTGGTTCATCAAAAACAGGCAACATTTTTTCACCTTTCACTATATCTGAAAAGTAAGGCATTTAACTGTAATCAAACAGGTTGCATACATTCTTTGTGAATAAATGATACACATACTAAATAGTTACTGTCTTTAAAGATAATTTCATCAGTCTTTATATCTCTCTCCACCCCCCAAAAAAGCATACCATCCTCTCCTGACCATGTTTTCACAAAGTTCAATTCTTTTTCAAAGGTCCTCAAGCCTTTCTGCCTTTTTTTTTTCAGAAAGCACATAGGAGCTGAATTACAAACACGAATATAAAACCTAAAAACCAACACACACAATGCATGCTTACGCGTATTTTGTCACCAAAAAGTGACTTAACTGCAGAGGCCATTTTAGTGTACATATATTTTGATTTCCCGCTTGCCAGAACTCAATTAGCAATGTTATAGGCATAACATTTCCAGACCAAAACTTAAGAGTCTAAAAGAATGTTGGTGCAACAGAAAACAGTTAATGCTATAGTAAGGGTGAGCAGTACAAAGAATTGACTTTCCTAGCACTTGTGTACACACTTACTTGAGAAGCTGTCTTTGTCAACCCCATTACTGCTTCCGACTACATCACAGAACTGATTGTTTGTTATCAAGTTGGACATTCCCAGTATTGCTGTAAAAGGAAAAAAAGAAAAAAAGCAAAATAACATTTTTACTGTTCCTGACTAATTTAGCTCAGATGCAGGGCTCCTTTAAATAAAAAAAAAAAAAACAATATGTTGTACAACATCCAGTTATCAGTACAAAAAGCCATTCAAAATCTCAGTCATTTGAAAAAAAGTAGAAAACATAATTAATTATAGCCACTTCAGTTGATTTTCACATCTTAGAAAGTTCTGACCTCACCAGGTTTGAGCATCAACATTGAAAAGTGCAGCTCAATCACAAAATGAAGCCTCAGGAATAAAGTCACATACCAACACAGTGTTATACACAAGAAAAAACAGTCACACATAAAAAAAAAACCCAGGTTTTTTAAAGGTTTTCAGTTTGAAAATCAGGTACCTTTTGCAGGCCAAAATAATTAACTTCCTCACTAATTATCACAATTCAGCAACAGTGAGATGCTTCAAGCAAACTGGCAAACAAAACCTAGTTTCTATCACAGCTACAACATCCTGTAGTCAGATATATACACTACCATTTTAATTATAGATCTTGCTTGTCTAAATATGTACCAGCCCATTCATACTTCAAAAAAAAAGAAAAAAAAAAACAAACTAACCTGCAAGATCACCTAATTCTGTGTCTGTGGCACTGGTCAAGGCTTCCTCCAGCTCTGGATCAAGAGAGAATTTTTCTTCTGTGAGAGATTGTACAGGCTTTTGCTTGGGGATAAATATTTTCCCTGGAGTAAACAAAATGAAAAGTCTGATGTTACTTTGTATTATATAGCTACTTACCTTTAAAATGTTACGTACTTAAAGAATACACATTACATTAAGTGAATACTAGAAGAACCGTGAAAACGTAGAAGTTTCTTCTGTTGTTGCAACTCAGAGGTGAGGAAAGAGCATAAACAGGAATAAATTTTCAGGAGTCTGGATCATGATTCCAATCTTACTTGTTTTTCCTAAGGATTACAAAGCAACATATACACCTCCATTATAATTTTAAACAGTCTAGAAAGACTGTAAGGAAGATTTAGTGTCACTAGAGAATGGTGAATATCCTCTCAAGGGAGAAAGGAACCCAGGCAGAACTGTAATGTGAATGTGTCACAGAGAGAATATCACAAAATTATCTGAAATCACATACTTGACTGTTCACTGCTGTTTTTACAGCATATAAGATATTTCTGATTTCAGATGTTAACCTCAGTTGTGAAGCAAAACAACTAAAGCTGCTTGAGAAAACCATGGTCTGTGAACAGCACAAAACATGGTAACAGATTTCTCTGCCAGTGACACTGTTTTCTAAAAGGATACTTAAGTCATTGAAGATTCAACGGCAAAAGAAGAACGAGTAATATCACATTCTGCCCCAACTTTTCAGTTATTATAGGCAGGTAATGGGAAAACTTATTTTAGAAGACAGACAGTATAGGCAGAGGTCTGTGTAGCTACCATAATTCCTGCATACACCTTCAGCTGCAAAGTTAGGGTAGGAAATCAGGACATGAGAAAGCCTTTCTAACAGCTCAGCTGTGAATGGTTTAGAACTGGCCCTTCAGAAAAAAAGTCTTCCACTTTGTAAGAGCCAGGAGAGATAAGGGGTGCTTAGGTTCAGGACAAATTAACATGGCAAATAAAAGCTCTTGTACTGATGCATTTGAGAGAAATAGTTCACAACTGCACAACTGTAAATCCAACCTTAACAGTTATTTAAGGTTCAAGTTTTTCAAACTTTCCAAGTTGCCTGAGCTATCAGCAGAAATAGCTATGGGAAAGGGATTCCAACTTCCTTCTGTTATTTCCTGGGGTAGGAAGTGGTGTTGATAATTGTCCAATGACGTCTCAGTCCTAATTCAGGAGCCCACCCTCTGCCATATCCACAGCTACGGAATGTATTTCCACACAGTAATCATCCTCATCCCAAAGTCCCAGTTAGAGATGGTGGGTGGAGTTTAGCATTAGGAGTGACCCAAAATCATGTATTCCATATCTTCTTTAGATTACAGTGGTTTGTGGTTCATTTTCCTTTTAAAGGAAGTTAATGCATTCCCACTAGCACAGATTACAGAGAAGCACATCAGGTTTTTCTCTGACAACACAGTCTGATGACCAAGATCTGTTGCTAGCAACACAGTATTTTTGTTCCTGGGTTGCTATCTCTTTGGAAACTTGTATAAATGGTCATTAGCCATATTTAGAAGCAGAAATTAAACCTCGTTACATAACTGTATTGATTCCAAACAGTAGTTAAGTGCAGCTGACATGCATTACCACCCATACCTCAGCTTTGATGGACAATGCCAAAAAAACTGTTGGTGGTGACTCAGGATTAAAAGAAAACATTTATAAATTGAAGGCTAATGTAGCAAATGTTTCAGGTTATTTTGATAGAATTGATGCAGTACATTTCTATAATTTTATTTTACCAGGAACACCTACTGGGAAGAGATTAACCTTCAACTTAAATTGCAGCTTTTAGAAGATATGCAAGAATGTTTGACAATGTTTTCATTGAACCATCAAACACTCTGAACAGCACATACATAATTTAAAGCCTTTCAGTAGCTATGTTTGTGTTATTTTCCTTTGGTAATACGGCCTAATAAAAAGGTAAGGATTTTGGAGTACAAGGAAGGAGGACCATGGGATCTGAGCATCTGAGCCTTTGTTTAGCCATCCTATTTGCAGCATCAGTGCTGCAAGAAGAGAGCAGGAGAAAGAAACTGATCTTAATTAAAAGCAACAATGTATTGCAAAAATGTATTTTAACCTAGTGCAGCCTTCTGTCAGATTCATCCCACAGTGCTCACAAAAAAATGAACTATTTTTCCTGATGTTGCTTTTCAGTAATCCTTAAATTCAGAGTTTAGGAACATCTGGTTCTAAACATTTGCTTCCTAAGAGTAAGACTAAATTTATCCATACATGCCTGACTCATTAGAAAACCTAAAGAGAGTGGGAAGTATATTCAGTTATTAATAAAGAAAAAATGTTAAGAGCCACTGCCCTCCCGAAATGTTCACTGCAGCCAACTCCAGTCACATGAGCTGGGTCAGGAGCAGTTTTTGTTATAAAACAGGTCACACCCTTATGTACATAATTTCTCATTCATTGGCTTCATCTCGTTCTAGACTGGAACWCACAGGTTTACAATGCACATATTAAAGCAGGTCCTTCCCTACTCCTCATTTCTAGTAAAGAAGTTACTTCCAGAAGGGTAAGACCCCTGTGTCTCCGGGGACAATGATCTAACTCAAGGCCTGCCGCCAATAAGTTCAGCAAGTCCCCTCCCCTCCTACTAATGCAAGCTCTATATAAAACCAAAAACCACTACACATCTGTGTAGCCCAGGAGATGTGCAGCTTGCCTGGCCCTCAAGTGGAACATTTCCAAATAGCAGGGATTTGATTACATGAAGGAACATGACATCTCCTTTTCAGTCAGCCAAGATACCGCAAAGATTAAGCAATCCAACATGAAGAGGCAAATTTCAGGGATGTTCACATCATTTTTGCAATAATTATATAGGCAAGTCTTCTGTGCCTTTAAGCTAACATGCTAGATGATGCACACCCAGGATTAAGTCACAGGTCTCCTCTGCTACAGAATGAACTTTCAGTTCCAAGTTTCACAAAATCATATTGATCTAAAGGCAGGAACATTGGGTGGCATTCATTGAAGTGCCCTGGACCTTTGCTACACAGATTCAGTATTTAAGGTGGGACACAGTATTTTTCAGAAATCAGGACTGTTCACTGGGACCATGCACTGCACATTGCTGGTATTATTCTCATGTTCCTCACAGTCCTACCCCACACTAACAGGAGCAGGCAGCCACACCCTGCGTAGCAGAAGAAAGTCTAAAATCCACTTTGGGGTAGTCCATTTAGGGAAACAAACCATGTACTACTGAGGACAACTGAATACAAGCTTTTCTCATCAGTGACTTCATGCGGAAAAGTGAGTAACATCTGATGTACTCTTTACAACTTAGGTTCCTTTAAACTTTCCTTAGTTCAGAAATTTATATAATTCACACTTCATAAATCTCTGGTTCTCTGGTTCTTACCATATGACAGACTTAGGTTCATCAATTCACTTGTAAGCACAGTTTAACACTAATGTTTTTGATTCAGCTTACAAGTGACTTCCTCAGTGTTTTACTGCAGAAACAGAGCTGTTATCTGCTATCTGATTACAGGCCACATCACAGTGAATTAGAAAACTGTTTTACATTAAGGCTGGAGTATCACATGTTATTTTGTTCTAATGCTCTTGTATGGACAATGTCAATTTGACAAGCTGTTTCTGCAAAGCTTCTACAGGATATTAGATTGACTTCACAACATGTAACACACTTCCTTTAAAGACTTCCAAGTGATTCAATGGCAAACAGAGAACACAGCATCCCAAATCCTGCTGCAACAGAAGGCAATGGTGACCTAGAGCAACAACTGAGCAGAATGCCAGCAAAGGAACTTGGGCCAGGTGGCTGCAGTTTCATTCTGTTTTCTGGGTGATAGAGAAGGGGGAAAAAACCAAACCAAACCAAACCAAACCAAACCAAACCCAACCCCACCAAACCAAACAATAAAACTATAGTTGCATGAATGCAAATCTACACAGAAGAAACACACCCCGGCAGGAATACAAAGGGAAAATTGGAAGAGAAAGCCACAATTAGGAGAGTGCAAAGGCTAGAAACACAAAGCTTAGTTCAAATAATACTTTGCTAATGCCTTGTACTGTACAGTACAAAGTGCATTACAATTTCAGATATGTTTTTTATCTCAGCTGCAATAATTCTCTTCTTTTGCTGTTCCAAGAGAAGGGGGGAGGAGGAGGATGAGCATTGGTCAGACTTGGTCAGATGAGTGGRACACACTTGAGGGCAACAGCCTTCAGTGCTGAAGCCTTGCTTCACTGTTTGGATGAGAGATCCTTCTCCTTGCAGTATGCCTTGTAAAATCTTTATGACATACTTACATACGCAGATTGAGACAAAGCTAGTTTTGTTGCAATTATTACCATATTGGTCTCATRAATCTCTTGAACAATGGCTTACTGTATGGTTCAACACTTAATTGGAACAGAATGTGACTTAAATCATTAAACAGTGTTTTAAAATAAAGTACGTTTTTAAGGATGCTTTCAGAAACAAAATCAAGGCACTGGGAAAATGAAACAGARCATAATTTAGGGACTGTTAAACTTCACATTTCTTTAGCACTGTTCATCTCACTATAGCAGGACACTTTACATTACTTCAGATCTTCCACATGCACAAAACAAAGAAGTAGTTCTAAAGACCTGGAGAAATTACATCATCTATCACTGAAAAAGCAGCAGCATTGTTTTAATAACATGTTACCCCAAAATTAGGTACTTGGGACATCTGAAAGAGAGTATTTTCCTTTACACTCTAGTAGGGAWACAAGGTTACCAGAATCAGTAGCAAGACAGGATATTTAAAATTAACCTAGGGTAAGCTTCTTTGATTAATCTGCAGACCAAATCGCTATGCAGGACATCAGTTCTACTAAAATAGAAAAAGGAAAGAGAAGGATAGATTTTCCTCTTTTTACTCCATGAAATGAATAATTGGAACAAGTTAGAGCAACAAGACCAGACAGGGACACAGAAATATTTTAGCAAATTCTGACCTGAAAATGGCACCAAGAAAACAGCTGGGGTTCCAATCCATCCTTCTCCTCYCAAAACCTCCAGAACTGAAGGTTATACTTGTCACTTTTCTCCTGAATTAACAGGAGAGTWAGGCAAGATTTTCACCCACAACTTGCTAGTTTCTCCATAACACATTTTTCTAGATTATGTGAAAAATTAAAAGACAGCTCAGTGGTTTGYTCATCTGTTTTAATATTAACAAAAACCACATTAGGATACAAGCCCCCTCTAGATAAAAAGCATCCTACACAAGCATTAAGCTTTGCCCCATGCCCTTTCCAAGTTCCACATCTACATAAATATCATKATTTCTTGATTTAAAAGAATAAGTTATGTACATTTGCCATTTTTGTGCAAAATAGCAACAAACGTGGCAGCACATCAAAGTTGAACMATAATATTTTCATGAGGGGAAAAAGAAAGGTTATCCCTCACCTACTACAACATGAGCTTGACCTTCCTGCCTTCCTTCCCATTTAACAGAGCATCATTTTGCATACTAAACATTTGTTACCACATCTTCAGTTTTAATGAAAGCAATCTACATTTCACTTTTCATATTATTTTCTCTTCTTTTATGGCACTAAAAGAAATGATAGAAGAAGTCACTAGATAGTAACTTTTTTTTAAAAGACATGGGAAATTTCACTAACTAAACTGGTATGACTCATTGCAACATGCAGACAGGCTATTTAGTAATACTTCATTACATAAAGGAAATGACATTTGATCTTTCTTAACCCAGATTTGCGTTACAGCTGGACCCTTCTGTTTTTCTACATGATGCTCAAATATTTTATCTACCCAAACAAACACATGTGCTGTGCATGTAGACATCAGCTGACTTTAAAGAACCAYCTATGTGAAAGAAGAACTAGCTAATACTCAGTACAAACGTGGTATTAGCTAGTGCACATCTTGCATGGCCAGCCCCACTCCCTGAAGGATAGTGCACAGGATAGCTGAGATGTGAGGGATTCCCCAATCACCTATGAGCCCCAAATACACTGGAATCAATCACAACCATCAGTCTGTCTCCAACACACACTGGCAAATCTGCCAGGCAAGCAGCAGAAGCAGGGACAGTCAAACACAGCATGAACAGGTCCTTGCCTGCAGCAGAGGCTCCATAAAGGTACTCCTGCTATGGGCACCTTTGCCTTGTACAGGCAGTATATTGCAGTGTCCTTAACTTGGTTACTCCTACAGATTCAGTCACCAAACTCCTGTTCTCCTGTCAGCAGTGTCACAGTTACCACTCAACAAAAGTGGTGTTGAACTACAAAGTAAGGCAAAAAATACTGTGTGAAGGAAGTACATCACACACAGGGCAGTCATGGTAAAATCACAATCTATTACTTTAAGAGGAGAAGAGACACCAGCATTGTCAGGTATCTGACACAGGCAGAGAATATGCAAATACCCCCAACAAAATTTTCACCAAACAGACTGCACAATCATACAGACAAACTCAGTAGATGAATGAAGACTCAGTTTTGAAATAAGCAGTGATTCACACCAGAGAATTAAGTAGAATTGAAGGGTTTCAAACCCTTAAGAAAAGAGAAGCCTGTTCATCTTGAGCAGCTGGAATACAATTTAGCAAACAATTTACTGAAGTTTGGTGCAGCAGATCTGCCCTGCTGCTGGGGAAGGTTCACATGAGCCAGGACTCAAAAGCAGCACTCAAACACTGTGGTGACACCAAAAACCTGCACAGGTCTGTCCCTAACCAGTAGTGCTTTGTAAGGCACAGCAAATTTGGGGAATCCTGATTTGGGGGAAAGAAATATTCTTACAATATCTAAGAAGACCATTCCTCTTTGGTTTTCTTCTGAAGAGGAAAATGCTTCCCATCAAGTCTATGAGAATACTAGATCCAAAGCAAAGATTTAAAAATCCCAAGTTAATAACATCCACAGTTTTCAGACCACAAACCAGTGCTAGATTTCAAAACTTGTTGTGATGTTAACTATGTAATTAGTTAGTAGTAACTATGCAATCTTATTAAATCTTTCAGTTTAATAAGGATACTAGAAAAACAGCATGACTGCATACACCACTTGTCTGGCCTTGTCAGCCTACATCATCTTTGAACATTACCGAGTGTCTGCCACAACAYCATGCAACTGCTATTTTTCTAATCCAACGCAGTGTTACCAAGGTTGCTGTCTGTATTCAGCACAAGGCATAAGCCACAGGCACAATGACAGCATTTGTTATTATTGACACAAAACAGAGTTGGCTCTTACACTGAGGACACCATGCCCATCAGAACTTTGCAATCTATGATAAAATCTCTGAGTCTTATTTCCTTCCTGTGCTACACACAAAGAGCACAGCAGCCCCAACGGCACAAATGCCTGAACAGGAAGCCTCCTGGCCCTGCACATTTGGAAACGCTGCAAATTAAAAGCATTAGAGCTGCCAGTGCTTCAATCAAATTCGGTTCACAGTAATTCTGTCTTGTCCACCTCAGAGATTTCATAAGCACTTTCACCGGAAAGGGTGGTGTTACCTTTCTTTTCTCTTGTAAAAGGCACATAGTCTTCCCTGTCCTGGTACTCCAGAGCCTGCTTCTCTAAATACGCCAGGAGCCGTTCCCTGTCAAAGGGACCCGAGGCCTTTTTGGCAGTCTGGTCTTTCTGCCGGAAGCCTGCAGGCAGGAGCGCATTCTGCAAAACAAATGCAACAAAGAAGAATAACTTAGAAAGTCTGGGTGAACACCTGCTTAGTATCATTTCCCTCTTCCTTCTCTCTCTCTGCAAGGTTCAACCCTGATACATCATCTTCTGTAGGCAATCTTTGATCCCCTGGCAACTTCCTTTTTTGGGGGCAGGGAAGGACACAAAGTAATCTAGACATGGAGAATATAATGAAAATGTAGCACGCTGCACTCTCMGTWGGATCRAAGCAATTCTGTAGYAAAATRAATCCCAGMACTCAATTTRCCAGWTACTGTGCATTTCTTTGCTARAATCAGCACTGTTTAAATGAGCAGYAKTAAATAAAACTCATCTATTTACAGTTTAGACATTCAGCAACAGACCACTTCCTCTGTCACTTACACCTATATGTTTTTAAGCCTTTAAGACAACTTACTCTACTATTACATGGCATTTAACACAGAGTATTTCCATTTTTGACCTGATTCAAGGTGGAATGTTTCTATGATATCAACATATTTCAATTAAAGAGAAAAAAAAGGATGTTAATACAGAAAGGGCAGAATGTATAGGAAGTCAGACTGACATGAATGACAACTTTGCCTGTTCTCCTCTGTCAAAATGTCCATAAAGCTAAAGGCAATTAAAATATTAGTAATATCTTACAGTGCCACAAAATAGGCGATCATAAGATTCTGAATCAATCCCTGAGCATTAAGATTAAACTAATCCTCATACTATTTAAGCAAAAACAGAGAACCATGAGGTGAAAACACAAGTCTTGGAGTCTGATATCAGTTGCAATATCTGTAGAGAACAACTCAGTTCTTTATAACAGAAAGCCATAATACTACTTTTTCAATAGCCCATGCTGACATAATCATTCAGCACCTTAGTAATTACTTGTCTTCTCTTCACAAAGTCAGTATGAGGACAGGAATAGATATAAGCTACCAGATACACGACCAGGAATCATTAGAAGAGGTTGGCACCCTCTCACTCCCATCAAACTCCAAAGACAGAAATAATAAAACAAACATGGATGCAAAATGTCTGTTTATCAGACAGCACTGGAAGCAGGAAAGTTAAACAAGCATTTCTAAATAAACTTTCTTTTCAAGAATATGAACAACAGCAATTCTTATTTATAAATAAATCTCAGAAAACTCCTCCCAACTATCCCTTCTTCCCTTCTCCTTTATTGCAGTTGCATCCACCTTACCAACAGGAAATAAACATTATGTACACATATATCTGTGAGAACATCAGCAGGCTATGAAAAGCATATTGTACAAAGTCTTAACTTATTTTAGACTAGTTATGGAACAAATAAAAGAAGTTCAACGTCTCTTGGCTAATGCCTACCTCAGGGTCAAGATCATCTAAAACAGTTTCCAGTTGTTTCAGCTCTTCTTCCGAAAGTTTGCCAAGAATTTCATCCTCATCGAGATCTTTGTACTTGTCCAAGTCCTTTCGAAATGGGAGGGTCATGACTTCAGCAGCAGCAAGTTGCTCAAASGCTTCAAAACCCAAGTCTTAATTCTTAAACAGATCTACGAAAAAAATCTAAAATAAATAAGCAAAGTTAAGGTAAATATCCCAACTACAAAGCATCTTCAACCTCCATGTACATCTGTGAAAGGAAAGCTTTATCACCCAGCATTGGTATCTGTTGTTCTAGAGCTGACAAGGAGCACCTGGAAGCTCTCACCCTTTTYGATCAGAACGAAGTCAGTTCTTGACAAGAGCTCCAAGGCTATAAATCCCACAGAGCAGGGCATATYGTAGGGCAAGAGGGAGGAGGCATACCAACTATACCTACTGTTTAGGAGTCCAATTAATGCCATCATTTTTTACAAATAATGCAGCCAAAAGAAGAGGTAAGATGCTCTACATTTATTGTTACTGCAGCAGCTCAAGGGCACTTAAGGATAACTTCATTATAAACAAGGTAATTGGTTATTACTGACTCATATCCCTGCATATTACCTACTGAGGAAACAAAGGAAGTTCTCCTCCAAGTTAATTATAGCACTACCATCGAAGCAACATTCTGTTCTGTCCAAGGAAAATTACAATACSTTGATGAAAAGCATAGGAAATACAGCTCCTAAGTGGCAGCACTCCAGTCAATCCTACTACCATGAAAAAATAACAATAATAATACATATAAAATTAAAAATAAAGAACAAACTGTGACTGGTCACTAAATATGACATTCAAAGGAAACCAGGGTCSTTTAAAAATGTACAGTCTATACAGCACTTCTCACAAGGAGAGTGCAGGAAACCTTTTTTCTAACATCCACAATTTTGGAGCATTTGTCTTGGATAAAACAGTTTGCCACAGCAGCATTCAAGCAGACAAGTTGTTTCCTCTCATTTTTCTGACAGAASTTCTAGGATTTTCTTTTTGTCCAGCCAACCTCTTGCTTCAAGTAGACCACATAGACAAAAAAAAAGTAACTTTAATAATTCTCTGTAGTAAGCAAGTGAGTCCATAAAGTATTTGGGGAGCAAAAGCTAAATCSATACATTGAAGCCCATTTGTTTCCCTAAACCCTTTCTTGGCTCTATAGAAATACCCAACACAGACCAGACACAGAGCAAAAGTTACTTTTTCTCCAGTAACCCCTATTCAAGCACAGATGCTCACACCACATATAATAGTGCATTACTTCAAATCCACACTTACACTGTCCTTCAAAACCAGATCAATTTAGTTATTGTCTCTTAAGTAACAGCAAAAGGCAGGCTGTATATACATACAGTCTATACCATGGAATCCTGCATAGAGGATTCCTCCATCTCAGTTGTTTACATCCAGAAAGGTCTCCCTGGCTGCCACAGTTACATATGGTGACAATTTAATTCAGCGACACTAAACAGACATGAGCACATTAAGGGTCATCCACACTATTCAGCCAAGTGTACCTGTAAAGTAAATTTGATTTTAACAATTGCCTTTGCAAGAAAGGTGAACTTCCAGGTCCCACCAACATCTGCATCTAAATGAGGAATATATTTACAGCCATTAATAGGATGTCTGCTTTTAAAAAAAAAATGTTGCTGATATAAGTACCAGAGTTTACTTGTGACCTACRGTTGACACTGATGGGATATAATTCCAAAACTGAACTACCAACTTATGCAAGGTTCTCTCAAACATAAAAAATCACMGGAGGAACTCTCAATTTCATGGGAAATTACACCAAAAGAAACTGTCTAGGTTCCTCTGAACTAAATCAAATCATGCTGGAAGAGCCTGGATGTTTTTCAAGGGCTACAGAGCTAGGAACAACCCAGTTTAGTGGCTGCAGAAAATGCAGAGGGTAGCACACTTATGTTTTCCTAAATTCCAGAAGTAATTAAAGGAGTGACTGTAGCCTGCAGAGCCACCTCCTACAATTTCCATAGTCTGGCAGTATTTGTTTCTCCAGGTGCAAACAGCTGATGGACAATTAGCTGATGCCACACAATCTGCATGTGAACTTCTCATTCCTGGAGCCTTAATGTTCTGCCCTTCCTTACAGTTCAAGCCACTACACAGTATCACAACACAAAAACATTTCCTGCAGATGATTACGCAGCACTATTTGTGACCAGGCTGCRCCATCTGACCCTGCCTCAAGACACTGCTATTTACCACATTTCTGCATGTCCATTTGCATTCAAMTATTAAAAGATGTAGTTTTAACAGGTAATTATAAGGAGCAGAATGGTTAGCAAGCTGCAGAATAATGCTGCCCTTACTCTGACAGAGACTAGCACTGCATAACCATCCATAATCTACATGAAGGCTGTATTTCCTCTCCATTAATTACTACAAAATGCTGTCATCCAGAATTAATTACCTTTTATTTACTGCACTGGGATGTTTCATATTGGAAAACTACTCATCCTTTGTAATACAGTAATTAATTTTGAGGTCACAGCCCTCAGTCTCACTTGTYTGTATATGACCAAAGAAGCCACATCAAAATCCCCTGGGACAGTGCTCGCTCACACACAGACTAAAGTGAAAAATAAAGCAGTAGAACCAAAAAGCCCAGTTTCTCTAACTGAGGCTTCACCTCAGCAAGAAGTGAAACACATGTGGCTTGGCAAACACAAATTTAAAGTTTTGGACAGATTTTCCAATACCTATCAAAGGTATTTTTTACAAAATATGAAAGCATCCTTAATGTGAGACACCTTTAAATGTTATGGTGCTAGCACTGGTTAGCACATCTATAGTACACTGAGATTGCTTGGCAACAACTCTCAGAAACATTCCCTACAAAAGAAAACACAGCATATGCAACACTTGCATATAACAYGCTAAAAATCAGGTTTTAAAACATGGTGTCAGGAATTCTCATTGCCTAAAAAGGGCATAAAGGCCAGCTGAAGCYCTAATCTAATCAAACAAGCCCTTCACCTCCCATGAAACACACTTGGTACTCTACTTGCTTTCCATCACTAGCTGTAGCAGTTCAGCAYAGAGACACGTGCACAACAAACTACAAGCTCTTAGAAGGAGCAGTTACTTAGTCTGTGAATATTTGTGGCACGTTATATTTTTACACATATGTACTTATGATCTTACTGCCAAATCACAGGCAAAACTGTAACCATCAGTTTTGGCTTTACAAACACTTTGCCCTTTTTTGATGAGAACTAGTTTACTTCTAAGTATCCTTCTTAACTTTACCATGAAAACTACTGGAAGAGCTAGTATTCTTTTTCAGACATATAACTAAAAGGTAAAGTCCTTTCACTCCAGYAACTTCAGAGTCACCTAAGAAACATTTAGGGGAGATGGACAGAAAGTCATCGCTACCAGTCCATCTGTTTGTTAAGCAGAAGAAAAGCTGAAAAGTCAGAAATTAAAAATTCTGCTGGACATAACCAAGAAAAAAAAGATCTTGCCATAATTCCCTCACCTGAGAAATCAATGAAGAACTAAAGAAATTTTAAAAAGAGAAGTAACTGTACTTTATACCATTTTATAATCATCTGAATCATCCCTTGAAAGACAGTCAATCAACTTTCATACACATCTTATCCACAAGTTAGAATTTTTTGTTTTCTTCTCTGCTCTCTGAAAGTATATTTTTAAAATGCTCTTCTCTCTGAAAGTATGTTTTTAAAATGCAAAAGATTCTAAAAATAGCAAGGTTCCAATTTTCTTTTAAACTCCACCCTCCCCACAGCCCMAACTTAYATTACATTTAAGAACACAATTTTTMGGGACCCGAACAGAAGAAACTCTTTAGATATAACTTGTCCACAGGAAACTACAGTGTTGTTAAAGTACACTGTAAATGGCTTCCATGACTTGGATTTTAAAATAGAARCAACATCATGAAAAACAAACTGAGCTGCGTTTGGCCAGCACATTTGCAGAGTTCACTTTAATCTAATTTGTTCCTCTCAAGCCTCCTTCCCTCCAGCCTCTGGGTGAACCCGACCTAGAGCAGGGGGGTCTGGAGCAGGGGGGTCTGCAGGGCTGTCAGCATTCCTGCACCACTCAGGGCCCCAGACMATCCCAGCTGCTTGGAGGAGCCTAATCTGAGCATTTCCCCAGGGAACCCCTGCRATGGCAACGATTTCAGTTTCCAGTGTGCAAAATTATACAGAACCACTTATGAAGAATGTGCTGCACTTGAAAGAGCTATCTTTACTTACCAAAGCTAGGAGAAAAATGAGTAAATATAAATATTACTGTAATTCCAGCAGGTTCCTTAGGATATTTTTGTAATGCCTTGTAAKTCTGCTGAAGAGCCCAATGCTGCCTTTCTTAGCAGGAAGCTTTCAGAAACCCACCTAAACCTTCCAAACTGCCAGCCCAGGGTAGGATACAGGGAACCGGGGGAACCAGCAGACATCCCCCAGCCCAGAGCCTTATGGAGCCGGCAGATGGCAGCTCGTCTTTGCCTACACTTCTCGTCAGGGTAAATTGTGTTTTCCAGGCAGGAAGACACAGCTGTTCTGGGCTATTTTCCTACAAAAGCAAGCTCAAGGCTTCATCCTGTTCAAAGAGACAATTCATTAAGCTTTATACATGGCAAACGGAGCTTTCCAAACTTCACATTTGTCCATACAGTGACCCAGACAATTACTGCAGAGTAACCACACAGACCATGAAGAYCCTTCCATAAGGAAGGAAATCTGAACACATCTGTGTTTCCAGCTCCTGCCAGCTCCTCCTCTGTATCAGAGGGCACCTGCAACCAAAGCCCACTTTGCTCTTTTATACTGTATGGAACTGGGAACAGTGGCATAGAACTGGGACACAGCTCTCTTGCAGACAGGGCACTCTGAGTGACAGCTAAGCTGACAAGTTGGCATTGTCCCATAAAAAACTTATTCCTGTGTGCCTGTTCCTGAAAACTAGTCACCCMCACTGCAGGGCTAGATGGACATACCCAGCCAGCTCATGAAAAGGCAGGGGTGACAGGGCCAGGAGCCCCAAAGACTGTATTTGGCAAGCTGCACAGGGCAGTGCACAGAATTGGCAGCAGTTCAGCACACCCATCCCCATGGCACTTCCAGGCATGCTCACCAAACTTGCTGCAGGGCAGGTGTTACAGTCCCAAGTAAACACAATACTGGGATAAGATAAAAATCCCAGATGTCCTAAGAAGTTCCTCTGTCAGAAATCACTCTCSTTGTCCATTCCCTCTCCCCTTATGCAGGGTAGCATTACCGAGTMGGGAGTTACTCACCAGCAGCATGAGTGATGTTTAGGCATTTTTTTTTTTTTTTACAATACTTGAATGTTTTTCCAGAGACCCACTGCCCAGGTACAGGGCATACTGCCTGCTGGTGTTTTAGTCAAAAAGAAACTTTAGATGCAAGTTACCTGAACGTTCATTGAAACTTTCAGTTACTTTTTTATCAATTGCAGAGAAGTAGCGAAACTTACAAGGCTGGAACAGGACAGCAGAAGAAATTTACTCCATTCACATTACATTACTTCAGGAAAACTCCTGAGTACAACTCGTGTCAGGTTCTCCCTTGCATCACTGGCTGCWTTTCAAGCTCTCTCCACTCATGAGGATTGAGCCAATACATTACAGCAAATTTAAAGCACAAGGCAAACTCTCTAGAACATCACTTACTGCTGTACCCACAGAGAGCCGGGCTCTCAGAACAGGCCCCCGAAAGCTCCCCGGCCCGGTGTCGGTGCACCGAGTGCACCCCGCCCCGGAAAGGCAGCCCTCCGTCACGGACTGCGGGGACCCGAGCGCTGTGCGAGCCGTGGAAATCACATGGAGCAAATCGAAAGAATTACGGGGGGCAAAGCTCCAGGCATAGTCCCCAAAGTCTCAGTTTTCGGGCTCACCAGCGGAGCGGGGCGCTGGCTGAACCCCCTACCGGCTCCGCACCTGGGCGCACCCGCAGCTCCCACCGCAGGAGGCAACCGAGCCAGGAACCGCCTTGGGACCGACCGCCGCCCCGGCCCGACCTCCCCACTGCCCAGCACAACAGGCGCTCCGGGCCCCCGTGAGCCGCCGGGGTCCGACCGGGCGGCCGTCGACCCAGCCCCGTCTTCCTCCTCCCGCCCCTCCCGGCGCGCCGCGGCACTGTGTGGAGGGCTGCCCCCGGCCGAGCCGAGCCCGGCTCTCTCCCCGCGGCACAGCCAGCACCCCAATACCCCGGCCCCGTCCCGGCGCCCCGCGGCCGCTCCCCCTCACCCTGGCGGCCGCCGCTCCCCGCTCGCCCAGCCCGACAGCAGCGCATGCGCGGGGAGCCGCGGGGACAGGGCCGGGCGGCGCAGGCGCGGGGCGGGGCGGGGCGGGGCGGTGCCTGAGGGAGGGAGCGGCGCTGAGGGAGCGGCGGGGCCTGGGCCCTGTGCCGGTGTGTGCCTCCTGCCCGGCCATGGAGCCGCTCGAGGCCAGGTTGGACRGGGCKCTGAGCARYCTGGGCTGTGCAGGGTGTCCCTGTCCCTGGCAGGGCGTTGGGTCGCGGTGATCGGTCCCTCCCGAGCCGAACCGCCCCGTGCCCGCGGTGTGTGTGGCAGCCCCTCCCGATGGGCACACCGCGCCTGCTGCCAGCGGGCCAAAGCGCCGGGGCGCCCCGCTCGTGGGTGCTTTTTGGGCGCTCCACGGCCTTGCAGATCACTCTTGTAGCTTCTTCTTCCTTTGTCTCCCTCAGGCTCCTTGTCTTCACCTTTGCCCACATTTTGTTTCTTCTCTATTGAAAACATGCAGCTTCCCGCTCTGGGCCGTCAGGCAGGTCACCGTGCGGAGGAGCCCAATGCCCGATCACTCCCTGACCCACAAAGGCAGCAATTACAGAGACACAGCGGCTTCTCCGGAGAAGCTCTGGGCCACGGCTCCTTCAGCGCTGCTGTTGACACACAGCAGGTGGAACCCAATAACCAACGTGCCCTATGTGCTGGTGTGTACTTAACCAACATGATTTTTTGGACGTTTCAGCTACCTGCTATACACCAYACGTTAGTAAACAATACCCTGTAAACAATCTTTTTAAGGTTTATAATGTGAATAGGAGACCTGGACAGCAGTGGAAGCTCCACTGGTGCTGAAATGATGCACACACACAGCACAAGCAGATTCAGGATGGAGTTCCTCACTGCTGGTCAGTGAGCTGAGAGGAAAGAAGCATCCAAAGCCTCCAATCTAATCCTACATTGATTAAAACATATATTTGCTCTCTACAATGCTTATGTGGTAAAAATGAAGATTGTTGGTTCAAAGTGTATGGCTTGAGACAGAAATATCTTCCTGTCTGGGGAATTCACACATGATATAGACAGGAAGGATATTGTCAGTGAAGTACATGATAACAAAAAGTGATGCCTGACCCTCTGTCCTATATATCTTCTTTTTTATGAGCGTGGCCACACTCAGGTGAAACAAATTATGAGGGAGGAAATCATATTTCTTCCAGTGGCAGCAAGGAGGGACATGGCGCAGTCCTGGTTCTTTTGAGACGCAGACCTAACACTTTGAGAACTTTATGTTCTGAAGCGAAGGGTTAAGACAAGCACGTTCCCATGAGCAGGCTGGCTTACACAGCCTTTGGTGGGAGGCACAGGGGTAGCTACTACCCATGTATGGGAATTTTTCCTTCTTGTGGRTAGCTGCCTTGCAGCCAGCCCAGGGCCTACCTGCCAAGGCAAGTCTGGAGACAAGCTCAAGCACCAACCATCAAACTCACAGCATTCTCAGCCCCATCTGCAGGAGCCCACACTGTCTGACATGCTCTGCTCAGCACCTGAGACTTCCCAAGTAGACAGTTAAGATAGTTCAGACGTATCCTAAATGACATAATTCCCTGGGGACTGTCTGAAAGAAAAAAGTGGTACAAGAAGCATGCCCAGTGCATACTGGTCAGCTCCAAAAGGCTTTTGTCTGACTTGGATCTCAGACTCTTTAGCAAAAGAGAGAAATTCGGTGCTGAAGAGGTTGTCCTGCAGATCCATTCATTGAGACGGAAGTGGAACAGAAAGGTTTCCACCATTAGCAAACCGTGTAAAGAGAGGAGCATAGTGTCTCTTGACTCCTGCTCCTATCTGAGGAGCAAACCACTTCAAATGGGGCAATGTAAAAAAGGTGGGGAGTTGGCCAAAGTCTCCTCATTCTCATCCCAGAACAGRGAGCAGAGCTGGAGTGGGTGGAGGAAGAATCACATCTCAGTGGATGGAGCAGTCATGTGGCCTTTACTCCTGAGTGTCTCCAGGGAAGTGTGAATCAACCTAAGGCACTTCTGAGCAGCTGCCTGGAGCAGAACAGGGATGCAGAGCTCTGTAAGGGGGCACAGAGGATAGTGAGGTGCTGGGTCTGGCCCCAGGGTCAGTAGTGGTCATTTTATATCATGTGGRCAATCTCTTCTACCTCTCAACCCTCAGCCATGTTCCTGTCCCTGCTGGCAGGGGGCCAAGTGKGCCCCACAATCCAAATACCATCTGTTCTGTATCTCATTTTCCACACCTGCAAAATGAAAATTGTGGTTCRATTTGATATCTACTGCTGCAAATATACTGGAAACAGATATTTATTATTACTGTTACTACCATAGCAACTGCAGTGTCSAAATCTAAACATATTTCTTAAGGATTTAGAGTGCTAAGGATACAGAAGAGTTCACAGAAATCAAGTTTGGGTGAAATAACAGAGGATGTGAAGTTTAGTGTTATTAAAGTATCACTGTACTTTGCTTTATCAAAAAATCCAAGAAAATTCTATTGTYTGTCAAAGCAATGCATTTAAAAAAATCCAGCTAAATATAGTTGGGAATYGATCAGTTGAAATGCTGCTGGCCAACATTTTAAGGTCTGAACAATCAAGATCTTATGAACTGAGGCTGATTACATAAATTGGTTTTCTTTCAAGACCATTTCAGAAGTGTCTCCCCAATTTCGTAATTTTACATGTGAGCAAGAATCAAATTTTATCTCTACCCTAGGTCTGAAATTTGCTGATCAGGCATTGAAGCAGGGGGTTTTATATGCAGGTCACTGAATTGGATCAACAGCTGGTCTTTAAGGGAAGAGATCAAAACATGCACAACATAGTAATCAAGTCCAGATGTTGTCTAAAAGACAAGCTCCAGTTCTAGCAGGAATTAATCAAGCAAAGTTTTACAGGCTGTGTCATAAGGAAACCAGATGAAAACAACAGCCCCTCTGCCCTTTAATTAAAAAAAAAATGCAACAAACATTCTGAAGCAACTGACCACACTTTGGCTACAAATAGTTCAGTGAAATAAAACATGCGTCTGGGTGCCCCAGTTAATGATTTACTGGTACAACCTGCTGGCAGTAAGCCTAGCTTAGACACTGCTGGAAAAATGCCAAACCTCTACAYCGCATTCAACATAGAGCCTCTGAAACAGTCACTGGGTCTTGTGGGAGGTTGAGCCAGGAAATACATAGTTTTGGGATCCACAGGACCCCAGCTCTCAAAGGCATCACCCAGAGTGGAGTGAATTCTAGAGTAGTTGTCCCCTTATGTGTTATATCCTTAGCSTGTTTACTCTGTCACCGTGCTTCTTTCAACAGGTCAAATACATAAATAAAAAAAAAAATTAAAGGCCCAGATGGGAAAAATGCCATGCAAAGGTTCTGCCAGGAGAAAAAGGACTGCTTGGGAGTCTTACCTTGCCCTGTCAGATGTGCTTTCAGGGTGCTACCCTGGGAAATCCCACACATGGGAAAYGTGGTCAGTGCAGGTGGCCAAAGTCATTTGATGTAAACGTACCACTGCGGGCACAGCCCATAAATGGGATCTATAGCCCAGACATGGCATGTGGCTCATATTTCATGAACTGTAGTGACTATATTTGTCTTTTAATGTTGCAGCTGGGAAAGAATGAAATGTTATGTAGAACACACTGTACACACACAGTACATCTGCATGTAATCCATTTACCATGTATGTTTTTGTCAGTATATCTCATGAATACAGGTGACTTGCACCTTTTCTTAAACAGAGACCAATCATATTTGTAATTTTTTGATTGCAAATTCCACGTGTGAGGTATAAGGAAGAAAGAAACATGAAACCATAGCCAAAGAAGAGCAGAATGAAGACTTCAGCCAAACTCCACACTCCTTGCAGAGGTCTTAGATTGTTACATTTTTAACAGAAAGCACTATGAAATSAATTTGTCATCAGATATAAGACAACTGCAGACAGGAAAGTCAGCATGGGAGGATTTCTTTCCCTTCATATCAACTAAGTGTTTGGATTAATAAGTACATTTTAAAGTATGATGGGAAAATCTGAGTGAAAAAACTTGCAGGAGTTTATAAAAAAATAAACACCCCAAAGTTAACTTTTTCTCTGTCTAGATAGTGTACATTTCCCTTTCCCAGTATTTGTATAGTTATGAGTGACTCATTCAAGCCCTGAKCCCACAGACCAAGATTAAATCCCAAAAGTGTGTTTAATCCATGTCARTAATTAAATCCACATTTCTGTCTCAGGGCTGAGAGTCCTGTTTGCAGGGAAGCTTCAGCCACCCCACCAAACCATCAAACTGCTCTTCAGCCCGAGCCACCAAGTTACAGAGCAGCACATTTTAAAGCAATTTGATTCAGCTTCCGTAATGCTTCTGGGTCTGAACAAACGAATCCACAGAAGGAAACCCTATTTTCACTGAATGCTTCAAGGCAGGGAAGGAAAGAGTGTGGAATAAATGGATCTGACTATTTTCCATTTCTGTTAATCTGACAACATCTTAGATGTTTGGCAAAAAGAGTTAACTTTTGGCTGGATATCCCATTTTATAAGAAGCTTGAGGTAAGAAAGTTCCAAGAAGGTAATTGCAGCTTTGGAGCATTTTCCTGCACTCTGCGCATTATTGTGGATACAGGTGTTTTCCTCAGCAGCAGTGGCAAAACACCCATGGCAACCCTTCAGCCCCTGGTATTAGTCTGAGTTTTCTGCTCTAAGTCTTGCTGCAGAGGCCTGAGGTTTTTAGCAGGGTAAGGCATTTCCTAATTATATTTTTTTTCCATAGAAAAATTCAGCTCTAGAGCAGCATCTGCTTCTCA